GAAAAAGAAATACAACCTCAGCTAGAACTCGGTCTAGGAATTAGTATACCGTACATCGAAAATAATTACCCGAAAATAGAGAATTCTACAGAATCTCCAACGGAAAATTCACTAAACAAACTAGAAGTATTACAGTACGACCGAGAACCAATTACTGCTGTTAGGGACAACTATGTACATTTCATGGCATCAGATTTGGAACCGAACGACTATACAGCCAAATTAATGATCGCTATAGGAGCAATAGACTTGTTAGAAATGAAATCAAAAAAACCACAAAAGGGACAAATATTAGTCACTGAATTTGGGAAAAACAAAGTTTACACAGTAATAATTTCCAAAAATTATGACGACACTGTGAGCAAAAGTGAACTAGTGAACGCGTTGAACAATTTAAAAAACACCCTTCATAAAGACAATATTGAAAAAATACGCGTACCTAGACACGTTGAAATGTTAGAAGAATCAAATTACGATTGGACAGAACAACTAGCAAAAGTTTTTCTAAAAGAAAATATTAGGATAGCCTTATGTTACGGAAAAACGATAATTCCCCCAGAAAATATCAGAGAGAATATTATTGCAGAATATCACGATAGTTTAATAGCAGGACACAAAGGAGTCAACAAAACGTATCATAGAATACGAGAAAAATTTACATGGCCAGGATTAAGGCAGGAAATCACAGAATACATAAGGAAATGTAGAAGTTGCGCACAGAAGAAAATCGTCAGAACTAAAAATAAAGAAGCCATGGTAATAACCGACACACCATTAGACGCATGGGACAAAGTGTCCCTAGATACAGTAGGAAAACTTCCGACTACAGCTAATGGAAATTGTCACATCTTAACGATGCAAGATCAGCTTAGTAAATATTGCATTTTCGTAGCAATACCGGATATAAATGCAACAACGATAGCAAATGTAATAGCTACTAACCTAATTTCAGTATATGGAGCACCCAAATGTCTGTTGACGGACCAAGGAAGATCCTTCACAAGCAATTTATTACGACGACTAGCAAAATTATTTAAAGTAGCACAAGTTACTACCACAGCCTACCGCCCTCAAACAAATGGAGCTTTGGAACGCAGTCATGCCGTTTTAGCAGAATTTATCAGACATTACGCAAATGCCTTTGACGACTGGGACAGATTATTACCCTACGCTATGTTTGCCTATAATACCTCAGTCCACGAAGCGACGAAATTCACCCCACACGAAGTAGTTTTTGGAAAAACTGCCCGCACCCCCTCCATATTTCCAACAGAGAGAGAAATGGAAACATACGAATTTTATCTGAGAGAATTAGTAGTACGACTAATCGAAATAAGAAGAATGGTAGCTAAAAATTTGATCCAGTCAAAAGAAAAAGTTAAAGAAAAATTAAGCAGTAAAACAAAACCTTTGGACGTAAAGATAGGAGATTTGGTAGACGTGAAAGAAGAAGTTAGAGCCGGAAAATTCTCCCCTTATTACCATGGACCATATGAAGTAGTAGGGATAACAGAAAAAAATAATTTGATACTTAGTGACGCAGAAAAGAAAAGATTTCGAAAACACAAAGATCAGGTCAAAAAAGCATACTCTTGACAGAATGATAAAAAGGGTTTGAGAATAGATAAAGATGGCTATGTACATGTATATACTGATGGAGCTTGTAAAGCAAATGGTAAACCCAATGCACAAGCCGGAATAGGAATCTGGTTTAACCAAGAACACTCCCTAAACATCAGTGACAAAGCATGTAACAGACAAACTAATAATAGTGCTGAATTAGAAGCCATAATAAGAGCCTTAGATATTTTAAAAAAATTAAAATATAAGAAAATTAGGATACACACCGACTCTTAATTTGTAATATATGGGATAAAAGAGTGGTTACCGAAATGGGAAAATAACGGTTGGAAAACATGCCGAAAACGAGAAGTCATAAGCAAAAAGGACTTTGTAAAAATGAAAAATAGTATAAATAACCTAGAAGTAGAATTAATATACGAACCAGGACATAGTGGAATAATAGGAAACGAAGAAGCAGATAGATTAGCAAAATTAGCAATAGAAACTAACCATTAAATAAATATAAAAAAAAGCTAAACACGTAATTTAATTTTGATTACAGAAATGGAGAACTATGTTAAAATATGCATCGTAATACTAGGAATGATCGAAGTAATAAGGACAAATGATATAGACCCTTTTATTTCAATAAAGACTCTAAACAAAAATACAGGAATATTTTATGAACTGATGCCAAATCTACAACGAATTTCGGAAACATGGAGAACAGTAGTCTTACTGGACACAGACACATTTAAAACTCATTTACCTAATCTGGAAATGGAATACAAGAAAATGGAAACATTGTGTGAAAAAGCAATGAAAATAAGCTGCAACGACTTTTTGGAATACCAGATGTTAAATAAAGAAATAACTGTAGCTAAACTACTTCGTGAACAATTAATGGAACTCATACAAGAATTGAAACAAAAACCAAATGCAAATAAGGAACTCTCATTTCAAAATAGGAAAAAAACGAAATACGCCATTAATAGGATTTATAGGAAAAATAGCAGGACCAACAATAGGAATTTTAACTTACGACGATGGAGAAAGATATGAACAACTTTTTACGGAACTAAACGAAGCACAGAAAAACATATCACACTTAGTGGGAGAACAAACCCACCTAGTACGAACAGACTTACAAAATTTATACGACTTAGCACAGCAACAACATAATAGATCAGAAGAAGAAAGAAAAAGACTTTACAAACTGGAAGAAGATATGCTCGACATAGAATCCAAATTAACTACTACAGATTTTATGTTACAACTACAAAAAACATCTAGACAATGGAATGAACAAATAGAAACCTACAAACATGGACTAGAGGAAACTTTAAACGTCATATTCAAAGCCCTAGAAGGAAAATTACACCCGAAACTATTAAATAACGAACAAATAAAAACAATAGCAACCGAAGCACATAAATTCTTAGAAAATCAGGAATACCCTATGCATATAGACAACCTGAATGTAGCAACGATAACGGAAATTTCAAAAATAGGGATACAAGTAAAAGGAGAAAATTTAATGATAACTCTCGACATTCCTCTCTTAGAAAAAGAAAAATATTTGTTATACAAAATGCATGAATTACCTGTATTACAATCAATAGGAACAGTAGGAAACAGAGCATATATCACCCCCCACTCTAAATATATAGCTACAAGTATTGAAGGACGACACTATTTTTATTTAGAAGAAGAACAATTAAGAAATTGCCAATTAGTAGAAGAAAGATATGTATGTTATCCTACTCAAGGAATCTATGATATCATTTTAGCACCAAGTTGCGAATCAGAATTATTAAGAGAACCTAACAATAACACGTTAAGAAGCTGTGACATCCGGATCACCAAAAATCAACAACCACTATGGGAACCTTTAATCACAACAGGAAATTGGTTGTATTCTCTTACGAAAGAAGAAACCGCATACCTTATCTGCCCTAAAACAAAAGTCAAAACTTTTCAGCTAAAAGAAATAGGGATTATTAAACTGTCACCAAAATGTACATTAAAGACTGACACAATAAAATTACCTACACTACAAATATTAAACAACCCCCAAGAATACATCTATACACCAAAAATAGAGTTAAAACTAGAAGAAATCTCACCCATTCTAAAGACAATAAACCCAAAGAAGGAAACAACCACATCAAATGAAATTCGACCAATTTGGAGAAAAATGGAAACCGACGAAAAATTACAGGAAATAGAAAAAGGACTCGAAATTCAAAGTTTACACACAATTGGAAAAAAGGAACAATACCAATACACGAATTCCATAATAGGAACACTAACAACTGTAATAATAATAATCATAATTTACTTGACTATAAAACATTGCGTCAAAGACCAAAAAAAAAATTTATGCTGCCTGAAACAAAAAAGAAAAGACAACGAGACAGAAACGCAACAAATGTACGCCATACCGTCCAGCCCATCGCGACAAAGACCCAACAGCCAAGGCATTAGCAGTTTTAAAAAAAATCAACAAATACAACCACCACCTTCAACCACTAAACAAGAAATACTACAACGAAAAGAATGTCAAGAGGAAAATAAACCTACAACAAGCAATATACTACGAAAAGAAAATAACGCACTAGAAAACCCAATTTCTAAATTACGATACGCAGAATTACCCGAAATTAAATACATAGATATACCCTAAAAAAAAGAGAAGCTAAATCAATTTTACAAAATGTATATAATTTATCTTGTAAAAAAGGCTTAAATATAATAACTAACAAGCTAAACAATACTAACTTTAAACTAATCTAAGACAATATACAAATAAGAAAAAACTAAAGAATAAAACTAACCAACTATCAACTAATTCAATTTAAATATTAAAAAGATTTTATATAATAATAAACTAACACTAACATGTATAAGAATACATGCAAGCCCTAAAGCACATACATATACAAAAGTAAAAATTAACTAATAATCTAATATGGGATAAGATTAACTAATAAAAAATAAGTTAATAATTTAAATTAACTAATAATCTTTTATAGGGGACTAGTTCATTTTTTTTACGGTCGATAAGCAACAAATCGCTTTCAAACCGAAAATTGTATCCAATTCTCAAGAATGTCATGGTTTAGACATAGTAAAACTGGAACTCCAAGAGTAGACAAAAAAAAAGATCCGGGAACGATGTAGAATTCTCCGATGAACTCCATAGAAGCATCCCCTCAGATTATTCCTCCAAAATATGTGCGAACCAGTTTAGGAAAGGATAAAAAAGAAATAACAATAACAAAAATCTAATTTAAAGAAAATATAATTAAATAGGAGTAAACAAAAAAAAAATAAAAACAGCAAAAAAAAAAACAACATAAAAATAACAAAAAAATAATATTTTAATTTACGAACATGAACAAAATTAAAAAAAGGGGTAGAATAATTAAAATAACTTTAAGTAATTCATTTTTTCTCTGGTTTAATAATACTTTTAAAATATTATTACATATTTATTTTTAAGCAATTTATATTGAAATTTATTGTATAAAAAAAAACACACGTCATAAAAGGGGGGCACAGGGTACCTAAAAAAAAACAATGAAACATACATAAATGAACAATACTACATACAACTAAACAATTCATTAACAAACTTACCCAAGATAAAATTTTAAAAGCCAAGAACCCCCACAAATCATAGAAAATTTGTAAGCAGGAACCTCCAATTAAAATTCAAATAGCTAAAAAAAGAGCCATGGTTAATAAAAATTCAAAACAAAGGAAAACAACAAATTTAAAATATACTTACAAATTAAAATAAACGATAGGGAATAATAAAAAAAAAAAATCCACTGCTTGATGCCTTTTCCTCTCCAAAAAAAATTTTGTTTCTAACCACCTACAAAAAGAGCCATGGTTAATAAAAATTCAAAACAAAGGAAAACAACAAATTTAAAATATACTTACAAATTAAAATAAACGATAGGGAAAAATAAAAAAAAAAATCCACTGCTTGATGCCTTTTTCTCTCCAAAAATCTTCTAACCACCTAAAAAAGAGCCAAGATTAACACATTTTTTTTCCAAAATACTTACAAAAATTAAAAAAATACTTACTAAGAAAATAAAACATCAGGACAGCAAACAAAAAAATAACAGCAAAACCTACAAAGAGGAACAACAGAAACGAAATTAAAATCAATATAAAAGAAAAATTTCAGTTTAAAAAAAATAATTTAAAAATAATTTATTGGATAATTCAATTTTTTTTTCTCAAAATTGAATTTTCATACGATTTATCTTTTAAACAAATTCTTAAATAATTGCATACTACAAAAGCTCAACATCACTTGAAATAAAAGAAAACATTTCAAATTAAATTTTGAATTTTAAATTAATTAAATTAATTTAATTCTTATAATTGAATAACAAATACACTCTAAAAATATGGAAATATTAAACACCATATTATAAGATTTAAAAAAAAAATAATTCCCAAATAATAATTCCCCTTAGTACGAAAATTATAGCTTTAAACTAACAATACTATACATGAAAGAAAGCTTGTGGGTGCTTGAGGAAATGGTGAAACGCCGGGGAGCGGGCGGAAAGCATAGGAAGCAAGATAAATGCATGAAGATCGTACGGAACATGCACACCCTAGGCGCTTGAAATTTTTCGGTTCTCGACAAACTGGGATCGCGCCAGAGAAGATAGTTGGTAGGTACCGGAAGAAGTGGTGAAACGCCGGGGAGCTGGTAAAGGTAGAGAAGCAAAGAACAAACGTATGGAGCAAAGCATTGCTTCGTGACGATCGCGGAGCATGCGGGGCGTATACGAACGTGAGGAAGCGGAGAAAGAGACGAGGAAAGCCATGCATCGAGCATAGGCATACAGTACCTCGTATATATCTATATATAGAGAGACTGAAAATCTCGCGCTTAGAGAATGATTAAACATTTATTTTTTTCTTTCTTCCTTTAAAATTTCACTAAAAAATTAAGTAAAACATTTTTTTTTGGGAATTAATAAAATGGCATTTCTTTTCGCAAAAATTTCAGTTATAAACTCAAGCATTCAATTATTTAATTTAGTAAATAAACAAAATTTTTAATAAAAACACCAAGAAATTATAAAAAATTATAAAATTTTTTTTTCTTCTCTAATAATTTCAATCCGAAAAATCTAACACGGTTAATTAAATAAATTTAAAAAAAAATTTTTTCCAATTTTTTCTTCTCTCTAAAAAGCAATAATAAGTAACTAAGTTAAAAAAAAACAATTGTAAGACAAAATTAAATCAAAAAGTATATATATATAAAAGAAACTCCAGATCGAGAAAATACGCTGACAAGTAAATTAGGGTTAAATTACAAAACCAAGGCCGGCCACGAAACACAGCAAAATAGAAAAAATAACTTCTACAAATCCACTTGAACGAAAATCATACAAAAATTATCTCATTAGAAAGAAGACCAAAAATTTAAAAAATTGTACATCAAATTAATAATTTCACATGTTTCACAAATGCATGTAAAAGGTGATCTCATTAAAAAATTATTATTTTGATAACTTATGGAAATTTATAGAAATTTTCTCGGTAATTTACGGAAATTTATAGAAAGTAGCACGACATTGAACAATATTAAATATTATGACAATATTAAAATATCAGATATTAAAAATAATTAAATTAAGAAAAATTAAAAAAAAAAATAATTAAAATTTTACCAAGAAATTTATCAAATTCTTTGAAAACAGTTCAATTTTAGAGAAGAATTTTATTATTTATAAAGACAATTGATAATTTACAAAAAAATTGCATCAAAAATTTTGAATGCAATAATTTTATTCTTTAAAGAAATTTAATTAAAAAAAAAATTATTAAAAATAATATTTATATTCTAATAAATAAATTGTAGCAAAAGTTATTAAAATAATTTAATTTCTTCAATAAATTTTAATAAAATTTTTAAGAATAATTGAATTTTTTGAGGAATTCGATCAAAATTGTAATAAAAAGAAATGAAATTATACAATTAGCTTTATTAATTATCAAAATAATTGAATTCCTAATAAGAATTTTATTATTCACCAAAAATTAAATAACTTTATAAATTACAAAAAATTTATAAAAATTTGTAAATAATGAAATTCATGTAAAATTTTTAGTGTTTTTTTTTTGAAAATAATTAAAGCTTTGTGTAGAAGTTTAGTAAAAAAAAAAATCCAAGAATTTCGTTAAAATTTTAGAAAATCATCGATATTTCGAAGAAGAATTTAACTATCTCTAAAGACAATTGAAATTTTGACAAGCCTTTTTTAAAAAAAAAAAAAAAAAAGAAAATTTTTTCTTGAAAATAAATAAATTCCTTTAATCATTCGTAATTTCTTTAATTTTTTTTATATATTACTCACGTCGAAAGAAGAAACAGGAACTAATCCAAAAAAAAAGCAACATCAAGAAACAGGAACAAAGCACTATTAACATCTTTTGGCTTATAAACACTTAGCGAAAAATGAGAAGAAATAAAAACACACACATATCCACCTCAAACAAAAAACTACATTATGAAAACGGAATAACTACACTAAACATACACTTATAACAACAAAATAGACTACAATATGACGACGCACGAAAGAAACTAACAAGCATAACCATATCACACAAAGACATGGGGGGAAGATAAGAAGATGCAACGACGAAGAACAGAAAGAAAGGATACAATTAACACCTCACCGTGAGATGCTGACCCCACACGACAATTACACTTATTAATTCAAAATTCCACTCTCTTTATTAATAAAAACAATTCAAAAAATATATAAATAATAAATAAATACTAATGAAATAAAAAACCAATTTAACTAAAGTAAGAAATGAAAATAAAACATATAATTCTATCATAAAATATAAAATAACCAATTTTTTCATATAATAGAAATTACCAAAGAACCAACAATAAATAAGAACTTAATTTAGTTTTTACAACTGGAACAAAAAAAAAAAATCTTATCAAACAAAATAAGCCAATTTAACAAATCCAACAAGAGGAAAACAATAAGAAATTACAAAAATAATTCCTCAATAACAGAAATTCAAATAATAGAAAAGAAATAGTACTTACCTTGAGATAACTAATAATATATTTAATAAAATTGCAAATATTTCAATAATTTTAATAGTAAATGAATAAACAAAAACTATCAATTTTAATAACAAAACTTACTAATAACAAATTTACACTCATAAGATTTTTCCTTTTTTTCTCATTAAATACAAAATTTAAAAAAAAAATAAAGAATATATACAAAAAAAAACTAACACTATTTAGGAACAGGATAAAGATAAAAAAAAACAACAAATACTATAAATTTTAAACCTTTTTTTTCTCCCCGATTTATTTAAACAAAACCCAAATCCACCACTCACTTAACAAAAATTTATAATATCAATAGAAACACACATTATCTAACAGGGAAACCAAATATTCTGCACACTAACGTTCCAGCGCTAAAAACAAAAAAACAAACAAGAAACAATTAAGACATCATCAATAATAACAATATAAAATCTGCTAAAATATACCTACAATGTCCCATGTATTACATATTGAAACGGGCTCCTCCCATTCCAACCTATAACTCTGAACATATACGAGCTCAAGAGCCGGATTTTTTGGACGATAACCCATCCTTGGGGGGCTGTAGGGTAGAACCGAGAAAGGTCTATAAAAAATTTTTTTTTTATATCATAATAACAAACAAAATTCATATAAAAAAAATCCTACATACATAATAAAAATAAACATATTTTAGAAAAAAGTACACTCACCTACAACATGTATTTACACCTAAAATTCCAATTATCTCTTCTATTGGCTCGTCTTCTGGTACAGCACAAGAGGTAGGATTGACGAAAGTTCCAGGTGCCCAGTAATAACGACACTCGTATTTTTTAAATGCCCAAGACCAACGATATTCTTGGTACCATACAGCATTATCAAAAGACACTCGCCCATCAAAAAAACGAGTATGCAGGACAGGCCAAGGCCCAAAAACAGCCCTCAAATCAGCATCTTGCCATGGACTAACTAAGACACGCACACTAAAAAAAAAAAAAAAATATATACACTTTTAATATTAACCAAACCAAATAAAAAAAAAATAGAAAAGAAGAGAAATAATAAAACACACTTACCCTCTTTCCCCACTTTCAAACGAAATACGTTGCGCATCCTCGATCTCGGCTAACTTCATCAATAAAAAATCCTCTGTTTTCACAACACCACGCTCCACAAAACTCAAAACCTGACTCATAAGAGTAAAATCGAATGATGCCATTTTTTTATCTTTACACCCAAAAACAATGAACCAAAAATAGACAACTACTCTAAACGAAAGATTTGCAAAGACTGACAAAGTACAAGACACACATAACCACGACTAACCAAAAATCCAAATCAGCAAAAATACAACTGTGAGAAACAAAACTCAAGATTACAGACAGAAGACAGGAAGAAAATCCTTAAATTACATCTACAATACAAAAAGTAAAGTCCTATTAGAAACCTTTTTTCCTTTTCACTCCAAATAACTTCATCACATTTTAATCAAAAATCCTTACAATATAACCAAATTATTAATTTAACCCTATTAAAATTCCCACCATCCAAAAAAAAAAACTATGAACTGACAAGGGACGACAGTTCATAAAAAGGGGGGCAGTAACAACAATC